GGACCTTAGTTTTCCCCTTGTGTATGTTGAGGCCCACTGATGCAGAGACTGCTGCCACACTGTCTGTCTTTATCTGCATTTGTTCGTGTGTATAGGGTAGGAGGGCTAGGTCATCTGTGAAGTCCAAATCGTCTAATTGGTTCTGAGCTGTCCATTGTATTCCGTGTTTTCCTTCAGATGTTGAGGTCTTCATAATTCAGTCGACCAGGAGAAGAAAGAGGAAGGAAGAGAGTGGACAGCCTGTAGCTCTTCTAGAGTTACTGCCGGTCCCAAACCCGGGTAAAGGAGGAGGGTTGGGCATGGGGTTAACGACCCCATCCCGTAGAAAAATAACTCGCTAAAAAACGCTAACTAGAAAAAATAAATTTTATTTGCTTTGCAATCATAAATTAATATGATTAGTATAAGGGTCATTATGTTTATAACGGACAATTCAAATAGCCATGCGTCTTCAATCATTTCTAAACCAAACTACAAAAAACTCTATTCACATGTTATCAGAGATCACTTTACAATTTTGTAAGATTCATTTTATTCAGCTTTATATTAGTATATATAAAACAGATTTTTTTCCAAACATTTGAAATAAATTATTTCTTTATATGTATTTTAATCAAACACTAGAAGGGTGTAGGCTATATGAACCGTTTTTGTGATAAATTCACATATATTCAATAAATCAAAAAATTTCTTTAGAAAAGGAATTCCTTTACAACAAGTTTATCTTCAAAGCTGTACAGTCGTATATATATCATCATCAGTTTGTACATTTGACAAGTTATCAGTCAGTGAACTGCCGTAGGTCTGTTAGATTTAGGTTAGTTGTTATGAGAAATTTGATTACATCATTATAATATTTAGATTTATAGAGAACAACGTGAACGAGAGACAACCTTCAGAAATTTAATCTGGCGTTTAAAACAACCACTAATTTTAAATCTCTATATATGCTAAAAAACTGTGTAGAGAGATATATTAGAATGACATTTAGAGCGGAAAATTTCCGTACAAATCACTAGATCCATTGTTTTATGTGGTTACTATAGATTATTATAGGTTACTAAAACTGACCGATTTGTTATTCGTTTACCAGTTCACCTCTTGTTGCTGAGCTATGCATGAGGGTCGTTTGTCGAAGCCGAGTTTTTGTCGTGTAGAAAAGCACCTACCATCATGGCTTAGCAGGGTAAATGTTACTTAATTACGTCGTCAGTTCTATAACGTGTAACAGACACTGGATATTTAGCTTACGATTCATCATTTGAAATCATTCACTGATTCTAATCAACGATACCAAGAAGTGTACACTCTAATTTACATTACATTCCAAAAGCATTGACCATCAACAATTTGATACCTGAGTTATGCGCGCAAAAATAATTTGTTAAATCCAAGTCTTTACATTAGTCTGAGTTTTTATTTTTGTTCTGTCTGTTTAGTTGTTCCTTCTTTTTTTCGTCCTCACTTCTAGGTTTACAAATGATTTTAATTTAATATAATTTACTTTCGTTACTATTAGTAGTATTATAAGGATTATTTCTACCTCCATTTCTCGACCACTGTTCATTCATCTTCGCTGCAGCTCGATGATACACTTACAATTTTCACCTAGTTTATTAAATACATCTCATAAATTTCCTCCTTGAAAAGTTATTCATTCATTTAAAAACATAATAGGATTTCACACAACAACTAGTAAAACTCCGACAGGCTTATAGTTTAGTAGTTGATATCACGAAATGATCTCAGTTAAGCAGTCAGTGTAAACCAGGAAGCACTGGACAACTGTTTCATTCTAGCATTGAAATCCTCAGCAGTACACTTTAATGAACCCACTGAGAACCAAACTCACTACCCTCGGATCCTAAGATGAGAACTTAACTTTTATACTAATGAGCTGAAATCTAGTTGTGTACATATTTAACATTAGTCTGTTCAGTAATATCGTCCAAACATCTTCCAAGATACTCCTTAGATAACTATCTTACACTTAATGTACTTGAACTTCAGTGGTTACAGCTTCTCACTGGAACTCTATAAGAGCTGTTCAATGTTTTCTGGTTTTCAATGTTTGTTTCATTAAGATCATTTTGTGATGTTAACTATGAAACTGAAAAAAACTGCTACTGTCCCCTATCAACACATAATTGTTTATTGACCTTTAATTTATCACATATATGTACTGTCGTACTGCTTTGAAAATGAACTCCTTTCATCAAATAATTAGTTTTTCTAAATAATTTATATCAACTGAAAAAATATATTTAATTCTTAAAAAACATTCAACAAAACAAATATATCAGTCCAAGAAGGGTAATAAACGATGTTTCGTTCTTTAATTTGTGAATGATACCGAAATAGGTTAAATTTCTGGTCATCATGATGAACTCAAAAACAAAATCTAAAAATTTTAGTTTCAAAACCTAATAAGTCAGACAGTTGTCCTGAAAATGATTTTTTCGAGTATTGAGCCAACGCTTTATTGAGTAAGATGGATCTAGAACAAAGTGACTGTTCAATATTCTTGGATGAACAAGAGCTCTTTATCCGGTATCAATTTGTAGCACAAAGTACTTTCAACATTTCAACTTACAAGCAAAAGTGTGTAAACTATCTGAACGATCAAGTATAATACTGGAAGAATGTGAAAATAAATAGTTCGATGTTTTAATTGATTTACTGGACTATCAGATCAAGATGTACCTAAATTAATGGTTGCTCTGGTTGTTAGAAGGGGGCATCAGCCTCGTGACTTTCCAAGGAACTCGGCTTTGACCATGAGACGTCATAACTCTTCTAAATGAAGACCTTCTAACTCCCAAGGAAGAGTTTAAATGGCTTGAATTGTTTTTTTAGCGCGTTAGTTTTCTACGGGATGGAGTCGCTAACCCCATGCCTAACCCTCATCCTTTATCTGGGCTTCGTACCGGCAGTAGACCCAGAGGGGCTCCAGGCAGATGGGTGGATGTTTAATATTCATCTCAAAACGTACATAACATTGAATATATGTTAAGAACTACTCTATAACTTTGTCACAATTTTTATCTAAGCTCGTAAGAAAAAAACACACTTAGGGCTCAATAATCATCATGGTCGAAATTGAATTAGTAGATTCTTACTGTTGGCTGGGGCAACTTTGAAAAGTGTTTGAGGATAGATGTTAAAAATCATTAGGTTTTCATTATTCTTCTTCATACGGAATGACTTTTTAATTTATAAGTTATACTTATTTACCAAGTATCTGTAGTTATTAACATGTATATTAGGTTGTCATAGCCTTTTCACCATAACTTAAATAAATTTGCGAGTCTTGACACTTCATTTACTATATAAGTATTTCTATGTTCTGTAATATAACCAAATACTCACTGTTAAATGTTCCCTTAGTAATCCCAAAAGTCAGTGTTTAGGGAGAAATATAACTGCAAAATATTATGTTGAATTCTTGTTTCTTTTATTAAGAAGAAATTTTATTGAGATGGTTGAATTCACACTTGAGACTTCATGACAAACTGATATCAGCTGGAGACAACTATTGACAAATATAGAAAACTGAACAGATGTTTCCTTCTATTTCGACACTCTTTAGTAATGTTTACCCAAAATCCTAAATAAGATGAAATACAAAACTTTTAGCGTAATAAGCTTAGATCTCTAAATCGGAATATAAAGGTTGAGATTCTCGCATTTTAGTCAGTTTTCCATGTATCATACTGTGGTGTGTACTAGTGATGTTGACAGATATAAGTAGTATGTATTACCAATCCAAAATGGAATGCCTGGCAGCAGACTGTTAAGAAGATCGAAGAGAAGGGAATGAGAATATAGAATGATCGATATGGAAACGAAGGAACGACAAAATCTGAGACGATTAATTGACATCTTGCAAATAAAATATTACTGTATAGTTCTCATTTTGTATTCAAACATGTTTGATTGTCCTCACTTGTGTTCCTATTCACTACATTACTATTGGTTAAACGTTGACAACCATATTTTCATGTTGGAATTGTTTAAATTTATATTAAAACTAATCATTAGTTAGAGTATAGTTTCAGACAACAAAAAAGTTGATTTAAACAGGAAATATATAGATGTAAGCCTATTATCATACTTCAGACAAAACAATGAACAAACCTAATTTTTCGACAGGAAATACGTTATTGTATGAAATTGCATATTCAGTTTTATAATTTTCATGCATTTTCAAACTAAATGGTAACTATAAAACTATTTGACAATAATGATCAAATATTTCCGTGTTCCTATTTGGTAAATCTTCAACAACAACAAAAGACACAAGATATCGAATGTGTTATAAATTTTTACGTTTATCAGAATAATCTCATTTTGTTTTTGACGAACTGTTAAGATGGTTCTCAATTTCGTAAATTAACTCTTTAGATTGAACAATAAACTATTTTATCTGTTTGGTACTGTTTACTTAGATGATATAATACAATTCAAATATACTGGATGGATAACGCATTTTATAGGTATGGTAATTCAAAATACAAATCCTCCCGGAAGATTTATTGATAAAGACTAAATAAGATTGACTTGGATTGACATTTGAATTTTTCACAGTAACGAAATGGCGAGTACTTTCATCGTTATGATAAAGGATATAAATATACTATAAACATAATACTCGTTTTACAATTGAGTGTTTATATGGACCTATTAGCTCAGTTAATAATCAGTTGGCGTCGAAAAAGAATAGCACCGAGTTCGAGTCCCAGTGTGAACATCAACACTGATATATAGGTATAACTAGTTAACGAGTCTCAGTTCATTCATTCAGGAAAAAATACTTGGTAGGCAAATGATTTTCATGAATTTTTACATCTCTATAACTAATAGATTGTCACATTACAAATAATTACAAATTTCGTATATGTGATTTACACAATATCGTTAATCATTTTTCACACAGTATGCATTTAATTACCTTATTTTCTTTTTTATTCTACTTGCATCAACTTCTAAAAATATTACAGGAGAAGATCATAGAACAATTGAACATTTTGATCAAGTTTATCCAATCGATGTATACAATTACACTAAATATACGACTGGTAGAAAACGTCCTTATCATGAACAATTTTCTCCATATGATCAACATCGAATCGCCTATGAAGATGAAGTTATCAAACGTCCATGGAGTCAAACTCATAAAACAGATAGATATTTAACTCCACACAGAGGTGATTCATTGAGAAAAGCTTTAAGTTTAGATAAACCATCATATATACCAACTCCATTGCATAAACTATCTTCATCACAACAATATTATCATTCATCTCCTGAACAATTAAAACATCCTGAAGAAAGTTTAGAATCGAAATTTACACGTCAACAACACTTTAAATATCATATTCCATATTATTCTTCATCATTTGACTATCCATCATTGTCAAGTAGTAAAACAAGACCATTAATTCATCCAGGTTATATTCAAACTTATAATTTTTTCTCTCCAATTGAAGAAAAAGGTGATTTTGAATCTGAAACAAAAGGTCATCCATTAATGAGTAGATTTAATGAGGATAAAGATGATATATGTGAAAAAAATGAAAAAGTAAGTAATTCATTCCAGTTAGAGAGTAGAAAACACATTTGTTTCATATTCTTTTAAGATATGTCTATTATTTATAATATTCGGTCCATATATATGTATATATGAATAGTTTCATAATGTAATCACAGTTTACAATTACTTAATTGACTAATCAGAAACAGTTGAATAATTGAATGGTTTGTAGGCATAAGTCTATTTACTAATACAAAAAATTGATTGGAATTTTCAAAGTTTAATGATATTATATTCTATTTACAACATGTAAGTCTTAGATTTGTTCTATTGTAGAATGATGCCTGTATTCTGTTGAGTAATGTACAGTTAAGACGAAACTGATGTTCATTACTCATTGATATTTTTTAGAAATGATTTTCCAGTTAATAAGAATCTGTAATTAAAGCAGTAACCAAAGCATTTTGAAGGTAAATGCAAAACTCTGCTAAGAAAAATACAGAATTGATTAGTTTCTTGTAGTATTTATTAAATCATTTCAACTAGTGATTAAAATCACTTTGTAATTATGGTTTGTGTTGTTGTATAAGCTAAATAACTCCTCAGTAACTTCGTTAATCTGATATAGACAAACAATTTAGTCCAGTAATTAGTCAATAAATATCTAGTTTACCATCAGACCATTTCATTGGAAAGGACTACTCTTATATGTTGAAGTGACTCAATTATCCTCTTACATCTTTCTTATTTCATTATTGATTATATGAAATAAGACCTACGTATATCAATCAACATTATCGTAATCATTCACTGAAATTTTACCTTACTGTTAGCTATCCATTTAGAAACTATGTTACTAACTGGATCATTTACTTAAAATTCATAATTTTTTCATACAAGTTGCATTCAATATGATGATTCTGTATGATCTCAAGAAATATTTGCTCGGTTTTAGACAGTCAGAAATAGCTTGATGAAAATGGTTTTTTTAAATAAAACATGTACTGAAAGACGATTAGAACTATTTGTAAATTCATCACACATAATTCAGTTTCCTTGTGATTTCAAAATTTATGTGAAGGGCTTCATCCATATCTCAGAAAAGCATGCCAGTTATTCATTCTGTTTCGATACTCCATCATTCATTGTACTTCAATCAGTCTTCACCATCCCACCTCTTACATTCTTGAATAGTGCTGTCGTTATCAAGATTTCCGGGAATATTCTCCTTTAAAATTTATATTACTGTCCTGCTAATTTTGTCTATTTCAGATGTAGCAGGTTTATTGGTTACTTTTATTTATATAATCAAGTTCATTACTAAAAACAACAGTTGTATAAAGGTCGACTTTGAAAGAATAAAAACTATATCAGATATGATAAACATTTAAAGTAAAAATAGTGGGTAGTGGTGTGTAACATTATTACGTTTATCTTGATATTATTTTGGTCGTATTTCCTCACTATAATAGCATGAAATGGATTTTCAAAACAGTCACTTGTTGTAAAGATAAATTATTAATATATTTCTATCGAAATTAAGAAGTATAAGACCGGTTATTGGGATTCTTGTTCATTAGATCATTAGTACTATTATTATTATTATTACTGCCGCTGCTACTACGACTGTAGCATCATGACTACTTTGATAAAAAATACCTATTATCATCTTGTGCAAAAATGAAAGGTATGGCATGGTGAACTGACGAGTCCACCGCGGTGACGAAACTATTCATATATATATATATATATATATATATATATATTCATTTTGAAACTTATCAAATTCAGCTTGAGAAGTTTGGTCATATTTTAATTTTAGTTACCTGAATTTTCAGAAGAATGGTATGTATTTCCATTGCCCTTATTGAATTATTCAATAATTCCCAATATAATAATATGAGATAGCCAAACGTAATCAACAGGAAATTCTAAACTAACGGTTTCTTTCGTAGTTGGCACTCATGAGTCAGTGAAGTAAGCTTTCTTGTGGAATTTGAGCCTGTTTCGGACCATGAATAATCTTCTTTTGAGCTTTGTTTATTGAATTACTGTTGTGAAAAATCTTATTTATAAGAACTTTTAACATCAAACTTAGCTTCAGAGTTTTTCTGGTGACAGTCTTTAGATATAAAAAGTGGACCAGTAAGTATATGAAGTCGGTAAGACTTATAGTCTCATTAAAAAAAACATGACACTGTTTAGTGCTCATTGACCAAATAGTCCATTATTGAATATTTTTATTCTATCATTTATTTAATTGCAACTCATATTATTCTCATGTATATATTCATATATTACAGATTTATCCTATGCAAATCAAAGACGATCATGGGCTTTCAGCACATAAACAAAAGTCTGCATCACATGTTACTACTGATATTACTGGTGATACAAGTAATCATAGAAGTCAAAAAAAGATTTATCAATCACCATTAAAGAAAACAATTTCACCTAGTGCGTCAACAGATGATATTATACCATATGATAGAAAATCTTTTATATCACATAAAGAAGTTCGAATTAATGAATCACAAACTCATGAACCAACTGGAATTAAAAAATCAGTGACATTATCAAATGATATTAATATTAAACAATCACCACAAACTACAACACGACATACTACAACTATGTCATCGAGTGGAATTTTAAAAGTGTCTGTACATTTAGGTGAAAGTGAAATACAAGAATTTGCTGAATACTGGGACCATAGTATATTTTCAGGTGCAAGAATCACTGCAGTTTGTTTAGCTGGAGTAGCTTCTGTTTGCTTAGTTTGTTCTGTATGTGCCAGCACATGGTTATATCAGGGATATGGTAAGTGATGATATAATATCAATCATATTGTTTATTAATGCGTGAATTAATTAAAGGACATTTGTATGGAAATTGTATTCAGTACACATTCAAGTGTTAAATTATTCTGCATACTTTAAGAAAGTTGACATTATAAATTGATTTTTACTACACAACGAAAGATAGTCAGGAATTACTGAAAATCTTCCAAGTAGTGTTCAACATGGACCGCTAAAGGAGCTGAACTCAAGAACATTTATGCATACCTATACATCACGAATACTAATGGTGAAAACAAACTTTGTTACTATTATGCCCTATGACTGACCAATACGCGTAGAAGACCTTAAGTAATCGCTGAGAATCAAGGATAAGGAAGACTGATACTCCATACTTGACGGTAGGCCCACTACCAGCTAACTCAAAACGAAAAGGAAAAATACAAGACCAATAGTCACCAACCCAAGATTATCATTATATCTCAGACATCCGTATGTATAAATACAAAACCAGACGACTCATCAGACCAATGAAGTAACAGTATTAGCACGGAGCAACATCATTATTGGTGGGAAAAACGGAGTACTGGGTATACAAATAATCGCTTCTAGTTTATGAGTGAAAAATGCTATATTATCAGTTTACTTTCCATATAAAAGCTTGGAACTAGGATAACACGAAAAAGATAAAACCAAAATACTCGATACACATCCAGTCAATATATATACATATATAATCGTAGAAAAGTAGCTTTAAAAGATTTTATCTCATAGATAAATCGTCTCTTAGAACAGATATAACTGTTAGGAGTTAGCCATTTAACACTGAAGAACTTTTGATTATCTATAAAGCCCGTACATCCACTTTCTAAGAGTTTAACACTCCTCAGCAATAAACACTCAAAAAAAAAAACCCGCCTAAGATTGAAATCGTCTGAAACAAAGTTATTTCTTCATTTTTGTATGGGTTGCTTGAATCTTCTCATTGATTTGTAGAACTGAAATTAATTAGTATCTTATTGGCATATGTGCACCCTGTGAAGACTGCCTCAATATTGCTAAGTGAATAACGCGAAGCGAACGGTACTTGGTTCGAGTCCCTGAGTGGACATCAACTCTAATGCAGACTGAATAGGATGAGACACGCGTCTTCGATTTCACTGCTAGCCACTATTTCCTCAGCTTATAGAATTATTTATTGTTATTAAAACCTGACCTATCACGTTTTTGGAATGTATGGATTGTTGTTAGTAGTGGAAGTCAGGAAGCATGTTACGTTTTGTTTAGGATTTGGTATTTGGGTGTATTTTCATTTCAATATTAATGTTCACGCTAAGACACGAACCCAGTACATTTTATTTCAAATGACCAACACACTATTTACTGAGCTACTTAATACAGGTAGCTACTAAACTGTTGAATGCTTATAATCATGGTTATTAACCGTACATCATCTATTTTAAATTATTCAGTGTTATTGTGTATGATTATTACAAGAAAACTCTAAATACTTACACATTCATTGTTGACAATCAAAGAGTTCAATTATACTCAATCTACTCAAATGTATCAACTATAACGATAATGAAGTAACTATTTCTCATACTCAAATGATGCATGCATGTAAAGTTGATCATTGCCAAGGATTATTATCAACTAGGAAACTATTGGTGATTCAAAGAGTACTGGATAACTTTTTCATTCTAGTATATCTTTTGTAAAATTTTGTAAAGGTTCGAACATATGACTCTCAAGCTTTATGATGGGCACAATATCTTTGGTCTAATAAATGCATGTCATTTTGAAGGTTATTTATCGATCGATATTATTTTCAACTTGTTAGCAATGAATGTACATCTTTTCATGTAGATAGAGTTATAGTTGATCAAACTATTCAGTCGGAACAAATACAATACAATATAGCAATACTCCAATAATACATGAAAATCCCATAAATTGAACTAATAAAAATGTATGATGTTTTTAAACTGAATTTGTAACTGGAGTAGGAAGTTTATGCGATTACCTATTAGACTACAAATAATGGTAGAACACACTATTAATCCTATGATCTGTCATTGAAATGAACAGATATTGAATAATTATTATACATTTATAGAGTAAATGGACTGTGATTAGAAGTGAAACTAAAGTTGAGCATTTTATCTTATGTATGGTTCATCAAATAATTAGCTAAATGGATAACACATTGGCGTTTGAAGTGAAAAGTACTGCGCTAAAGTCTTGGTGTCAATATCAGTAGGGAGATGGAGGTGCATCAAGTTGACTCACCGCATATAAGATGCTAAATGAGTCCTGAATTCCACTATTGATGGTAATCCATCTCTTTTATATAGCTTTTGATAAAATGATTATATATCGCGATAATCCGCACAGTATACACATATGCTAACAAAGGCTGATCAAAATTTTGTCAACGACGACATAATCCTTCAGCTTTTATTATATAAATTGTTATATCGTTTCTTTTGAAGACTATTCTAACTTCTTCATCAGTAATGAAATATCGGTTCCCTTTTATTCTCTTAAAAATCACATTTGGAAGATTTTTTAATATCAAAAAGTGAACTTTTATTGGTGCTTAATTATTTTCCATCCAATTTTATAACCTCAGTTGTTAAAGCTAATCTCAAACTCTTTTGATTCTTCATTGAATAACAAGCATCATTGTTAAACTGATTCGACATGGATTATTAAGCGATAATGAAAACGAAACTAGGTGCAGTTCTTTTATATGGTTTATAATAAGTCCTTCAACTTTGAAATTATTGTATAATTGGTACAGAAATTCATTCATAAAGGTTTAAGTAAACTCGTTACATAGTTATTAACACTTTAATGTTGGAGTGATTAGTCAATTTTTAAGTGTAGCTGAGTATTGGTCGTCCAATCTATTTGGTTCACTTATAATCATCTTTTCCTGACGAAAAGATCACTCAATCGTGTTTAAATTCGAAATAATCAATTAATACTCAATTCACAACAAATACAATGGTACAGTTTCACTACATATGCCAGGGTACGGCCGAGGGTGGGGAGAGTCTGCTCTCTCTCTGGAAATGTTCTCACATAGCCACGCGTATACAGCCACTACCAGAGAAGTCCTACTCACTGCCTTCTCTCGGCATTACTGTTGTTTACGGAAGTGAGAGGACGAAAAGCCAATGTCTGGCGCTTTAACAGGGTTGGTGGACACAGTGGATCCACTTAGGGGACTTGGAAAACCCCGATTTTAAACCAATGGTGCACATGAGCTCCAGAATCCTAACTTAACGAATGGAGCACGAACCTACTGTTGGTCACCGGTTACCATGGCACTGCATCTCCTGACGTTGCTCTACTGCCTTGCGGATCAGACCTTTAGGTTGAACGCTCCGAGTGTGGGCCCCTAAGAAAATCCCCTGCTTTAGTTTGGGCACCCGGACAGTATCACAGTCCACACACAAATCAAGTGACTAGTGTGGCGCATATGTATTCGATGCCCCTTTGTACCAATATTTATATGCTAAAATAAATAAATAACACAAATAACGAAATATATATGTTGATCACATCATTAGTTAAAATCACATTGGTCTTTGTCACCTTTTATCCACGGTATCTGTTAATTTATCTTTATTTATAAAGCTCCCAATTTAACTATTTTTTATTCATTTCATTTATTTTATTCCATTATATAATTAGATTAAATAATTGCTTGATTTATCGCCTGACTGATTGATTGACGAACTAGTCGACTAATTGACTAACTGATCTAATAATTGATAAATTGATCAACTGATTGTTCGACTATTTGATAGATACATGTTTGGTCTATGCATTTTGTCCGATAAGCAGAAATTCTGTCTGTATGATTTGTTTAATTTTACAAATCGAAAGATTCTTTCCTGTTTGTGATTTTATTGGTGTTTATTCAAATGATTTATTAAATACTATTTTTCTCCTCAATTAATATCACTTACAAAATCTTCATAAAACCTCCAGAACAAATTTATAATCATATGGCTTGTTGTGAAATGACTTCATGAATTACTAGAACGAGTTATGACCTGTAGATTTCAAGCCTGTCGAAAGTGATGTAGTTATCACCAATGTGTCATCACTCTATATTATAAGCAGATTGAAGTTGTAAATGTAGACTTTGAGGTTTCAGCTCAATAGTCCAGTGGTTAAGTACTCACCAAGGAATCTTCAAATTCAAAGTTTGATCCTTCGCATGAGCATGCACTAGGGTAGTGTCCTATATTAAGGATGTACTAGGTGTTTAGTGTTCCTTGCTTTTCAGTGGTATCCGATATAAAATGACCTTCAAACAAACAAAAAAAAGGTTTTGAGTCATATAAACTAAAAACAGTTCAGATTTAACACTTTCTATCACCAAAGAAGTCTATTATCAACATATTTTGTAGACAATATCTAATAATGATTGTTTCAATTAAACACAGTGAACTACTAAACAGCAAATGGTATACAAAATAGAAACAGATTTTTCTTATATCCATTCAAGTATATTTTTCTTAATTAATCAGCGATTTATGCTTGTTTGATATTGTTCACATTACCAATTCACCTCATACAATGACAATCATAGGTTAGATGAATGAAATTTTAATTAGTACAGTTTAAAACATCTACTAAAGTATAATACTGAATGATCTAGGTGTTCATCACCCTTCGATAATATTTCATAACCAAATAATCTGAACTAAATTCATTAGGATAATTGGTGATGGAAAATAATCTTTGTTGAAATATATACAGACTAGGTTCTCAGTTCCAAACAGCTGAATAAAATCAATGAAATCATTCATATCATTTTTAATTCTGTTGCGGTTGATCTAAATTAGAAATAAGAAGACCAATGAATTTAAAGGTTACATGTTTATATTGAAACTTCAAGACTTTAATTTCAACACTTGTAAGACTTATGCGTCGTTAATGTTAAGGATCTTAGAATAAATTATTTACGATTTTTGAGATAATGTCAGTCTTTGATGAAATGTAAACTATCTTCAGAGAAATTTAAATACTTCGTTCACAAATATATGCCGTAACAATCCCCATTATTCAATGCCTAATATTATATTAATATGAATATATTGTAATGGTTATGATTAATTTCATGAATGATAAGTCATTTTAGGATTCTTTTAGATAGAGTTTAAATTAACCTGCTGAGGAGTCCCAAAATAGGACGAAACGGCCGTCCAGTGCTTCCAGGTTTTCCATGATTGTCTAACTTCAATTGAATCACGATCTCAACTGTTTAAATAACTACAATCTCCACAAAACCCCTTCTGATGCTAATCAACATATGCTTACTAGTGACTGGCTTCAAGATATATATCCTGGAGTTCTAATGAGAATCAGTGACCAGCGGAGTTCAACCGGGTCAGTTGTGAGATAGTAACTCACTGATGACAATGGTGGATGTGTCGCTCAATTTCGTGGATTAGTTGAAGTTAGACATTAACACCGTTGGATTCCATCGCAGTGGTTTAGTTGGTTAGGCGCTTGGCAAAAGACCGATAGGTCCCGGGTTCGAATCCCGCGAGGTGTTGTCGTGGATACACATTGCTGAGGTGTCCCACGATAAGACGAGACGGCCTTTCAGTGCTTCTAGGTTTCCTATGGTGGTCTAGCTTCAATTGATTCATGATCTCAACTGCTTAAAAATAATGTTATTTTTAAAGCGGTATATACCTTTTCACAGTTTTAAATAATTACAGACGAAGAGATGTATGATTAGACTAGATTTCTCATTTTTAGAAAATTTTACCTAACGCAATTGATTGTGGTAACTTGTTTGACTTGTTTGAATTGTGTAGCAACCATAAATTTTGTCTTTCAGAACTATTCAGTCTTAGCTACAACCAGAAGGGATAAAAATTTTAAGCAAATCTATACATGTCTCCTTACTAAAAGTTAGGTTACCTTTTTTCTACTTTTGTAAAAGCCATACCTTTATCTTAGGATTTGAAAATATACTAACACAGTATAATCCTGATTGTTAAAAGCTATATATTTCTTTGATAATTTTGATTTTGATTATTACCCTGAAGAAGTCCAGACAAGTTAGCAGGACGAAACGTTGGAATTAGTTAAATTTCAATCGCTGAGAATATTTCAAATATAATTTTCACATATAATGACTATACTAAAGATGTTCTTCAAATTCTCTCTCTCTCTGTCTGATACTTCGTAATTCATTGGTTAATTGAAAGGATAACAATTTATAACTCCCATAATACTAATCATCGTTTGTTTAAAACATCTGCGTTCTAATAAGATTTTTCCCTTATCTATTATTGCTTAACTATACTAATATCATAGCTTGTTGTTATTAGATAGTTTGTGTTATTTTATATAACTAACTACCACTTAAGAAAATCTTGTCAACAATGCTTACCTTGGATGATAATGATGATGATGACTTGGATAACTGAAAAAGAATAATTACACTAAGGAAAACAAGTTAAGAATTGAAACTCTTCTTGTCCAAAGCATCACTGAAGTTCACTACTGATGTAATATTCAGGGTTGGCTATAGTAAAAAAGAACAGTGTACAATATAGATGTTTTCAATTGTTATAAAGGGGCTATAAAATAAAATGAAATAGTCTTGTCTTGCAAACCTTGTTAATCATGTATCATTCAAATCACTTATGATATAATTTCTTATTGTTTATTTTTCTTAGCAAACAATATTACACATAGTGGATTTTGGAAACGTTGTAACTATTTCAATCAAACATGTGAAATCATGCTTCCTTTTATCACTAAACATGAAGGCAAGTTAGTCTTCATTTCTTACCATAAATTAGTTATTGACATCAAGTTTATTGGATTATACATATAAGAAGTGTGTGTTTTATACGATTGTTGACAGTTGAATAGAGGATTGAAGCAATGTGCAGAAGGTTCAGTTTAGTTATTTATACAAATTCATTTTTGATGTTTAGATATTCAGTTTGAAAACCGAATAACGATGATTTTTGATTTACAGTTAATGGTGGAGACCAAGAAGAAAGTTTTACGTTATTTGGGATTTGTTAACTAGATTTAATTCCAATAAAGTATGCAAATATCAGTGCATTTGAGAGATAATCATGGATCAGTTTTCGATGTCAATTAGATCCTTATCTGTTGTCTTTGCCTTCTTCTTTCAGTCAGTTATTCTCAAGTATAATATAGATTTAGTAGAGAAGATTTGTAGCTCAGATGGATGCTTTTGGTATAGGTTTGTTCACTAAGTTGAATGGATTAATCCTGAAGCTTTGGTTGTTCTCCAGAGAGAAGGTCATGTTGATGATGTTGTTCAGAAGAACAATGGAAATTCCATGATGAAATTATCCAGCTCAAAGAACGAAATTCCATCAAAATAATATGGATATTTATAAGCATTGCCACTTACTTTGAAGAAGTGGCTTACGTCAAGTCACGATACGTCAAAAATACAATTTTTCTACTAATTGGGATATGCCAAAAATATATTTATTGTCATAACGCTAACGTCTGTTAACTAGGTATGTCTATGAATTCAAGGAAATACTTAGTTTTGTATGTGAAAATCACATTGGTAATAATCTCAGCGATTGAAGTTTAACTAATTCCAACGTTCTGCCCAGAAACTTGTCTGAATTTCTTCAAGGTAATAATCAGTAGTTTACGAATTAAGCGTTTCAGTGAGAGACCGAAAATCACGGATTCTTTTCCTTGTGACGAGGTCATGGATCCCTTCTCCTGATGAGTCCCATACAAAAACGAAATAGTTGTCCAATGCTTCTTGTTTTTCAGCGGTGTCTAGCTGGAATTACTCCACGATTTAATTGATCAAAGATATTATTTTAGTTGTAATCGCTGTCAGTAGAACTCACTTCGGTTAACCAGATGAAATTTTTTTGAATATCTTAATTAGTGATGAACAGTTGTAGTCGTATTGAATATACATGAATGTATATCAGTGAAAAACCAACAAAATAAATATTGAATTGCATGGGGATCAGGTTTATTTTAGTTTTGTCTGAATGGGACAATGACGAACCCGCTACTCTATAGGTAGATGGTGGGAAGCAAATGTCAGGAATGTTGTTTGTTAGCACATCATAAAAAGAATTAATGAATGCCTTCTTGGAAGTTAGACTTTATTTTCAAATTACCAAATTAATCGCAATACGTCACTTTCCTCAAATCAAAATCGATACACGTTTACCGCAAGAAAATTTTACCATTAACACTAAATAACATAGGAAAAACGTTCGCCAATTGTGAAACTCATATTTACAGCTTCCTAACAGCGCCAATCTCATTACCTAAAATTATAGACCACCAAATGATCATTTAATATAAGTCATTTCAATCTAAAACGTTTCAACAGATTATTCAATAAATATTCAATCTCGGCGGGTGAGACTATAATTTATGTACGAACAAATCAGGTATAGTATAACAGGTCTCGGATTTTGGCGCAAAATCCACTCATGCAATTCGCTAAATAGAGTTTTGGCATTATAGCTGATGTCGATTCGTGATGAAAACCCTAAATCTAATTTCTAACCTTAATAATCAACTGTAAATCATAAATCTAATTTCTCACACTGGTTTATAACCTTCATTTGGTCTTAGTTATTAGGTTGACACTCTAAAGGTGACTTTAGCGTCGCTCAAAGGTCGTCCATAAATTATAGTCTCACCTCTCGGTGATAAAATTTTTTAGAACACTACACTACTCATTGGTCAGAAGTTCCCTTAGAAAAGCTTTTAAATAATACAATTGTGAAGTAAGTCTTAGTGATAAAAATTATAATAAACATTCCAAAAGGCATAAGATCTTGAAAAAAATTCTCTTTCTTAACTTCATAGAGTAAGTGAATGCTACAGTTTTTATCAGACACTAAAGTGTTATTAAGACGTAGTTGAAGTACGAATGAAATATAGAATTATGCTTAATAGATTAACAGAATTTTTCAAATGACGGATATAATCCCCTCAGAATACGACCGAACAACTTCTCTTTCAATATTATATAACAAAACTGTTGACAGAATCAGTTATAATGATATCATTTTGAAGTTAACCTGGTAATTGTTGTATTTCGTATTAGTTCTTTGTGTAGGTTTATACTTCCTTGTTTTAATATTCACAACTGCTGTTGGTCAATCTCTGTGTTGTTGCATAATGTCCATGACTGAATGTCATGATACTACAAGTTAAATATATCTTAAGAAAATGTCCATGTATGAAATTCAGGATGTAAATCTTATTCTATTTATACAAACATTACTGTTATGTTTCAAGTTGTAGATAGTGGATTTGGATTTCAATATGAACACTGACACTAGATTGTAGATAAATTTAGCTGACGAATCATAAATAAATAAAAAAGACTGTCGTGGATTCTACTGCTAACCACTACTCAAACTGTGAAATGTTTTGTGCCAGCATGAAGTGTTCAGGAGCAAATAAAAGGTTAAATATCATATAATTTATAGTTATTGCTTCCTTGGAGAAAACTAGTGCTTCACCATTTAACGTATGCATTTAGAATAGCGTTGCTTATAAATATCCATATTATTTTGATGGAATTTCGTTCTTTGAGCTGGATAATTTCATCATGGAATTTCCATTGTTCTTCTGAACAACATCATCAACATGACCTTCTCTCTGGAGAACAACCAAAGCTTCAGGATTAATCCATTCAACTTAGTGAACAAACCTATACCAAAAGCATCCATCTGAGCTACAAATCTTCTCTACTAAATCTATATTATACTTGAGAATAACTGACTGAAAGAAGAAGGCAAAGACAACAGATAAGGATCTAATTGACATCGAAAACTGATCCATGATTATCTCTCAAATGTACTGATATTTGCATACTTTATTTTCATTGATTCATTATCAAACTTTAAGTAAAATTAATTAAGTAATATATGACATTCATTAAAAATAAATAACAGAAATATCGTATTTTATAATCCCATAATCAATAAAGATATAACTAATTTACTGAATTGAATAATTCATTTTCATTAGTTAAGTGATTTATACAAGTACTATGAAGTTATTACAATGAAAATAGATTCTTATTATATAATTTTGTAATTAAATTACTTGGGAATAGTTTGTTTTTAACAGAATGTAGTTCCGGTAATTATTATTTTCTATAATTACACTTGTATTTTACATTGTTATTAATCAAATACTGTAAATATATGTATGTTATCAGTGATAAGGCATAGAAAATAGTTCATTTTAACTACTGATTCAGAATACCTGAAAAGTGGTAAACAATAAACTATAAGTACAGGGTTGTGGAGATTATTAAGTTATTGATTCAGATCTTGAACCTATTAATGTTAGGTCACCATTGAAAACCTGGAAGCACTGGACGGTCAGTTCGTCCTATTGTGGGACTCCTTAGCAGTGCGCATCCACGATCCCGCTCGCGAGATTCGACCAAAGAACCCATCAGTCTCGCTCGTGAACGCTGAAATACTAGACCACTGAGTCGGCACCCAACGGTGTTAGTGTCTAATTCCAACCACTCCACGAAATTGCGCCAACGTAAAAACATTGTCTTCAGTGAGCTGATATCTCACAACAGACCTAGTTGAACTCCACTGGTCACGGCTTCTCACTAGAATATTAACACCGTTGGATGCCGGCTCAGTGGTTTAATGGTTAAGCGCTCTCGCGCGAGAGTGACAAGTCCTGGGTTCGAATCCCATGGGGGACGGGATCGTCGGCGCGTACCACTGAAGAGTCCCACACTAGAAGGAAACGGACGTCCAGTGCTTCCAGGTTTTCCATGGTGGTCCGGCTTCAATTGACTCATGATATCAACTAATAAAATCACTATAATATCCACAAAACCCCTTCTCATATATACATATATCACTTCGGTTGGGCAAACGTCAATAATCACTGTGACTGAAATTATTTACGTTTCTTTATTTAAATAAAAGCAGCTTTTACAATACAAATCAAACTTAATAAGAATTTATAAAGATGTTTTCAATTGACTCATGATTTCAACACTTAATTTCATTGAGTGTAACAATGAACAGTTAGTGGAGTTTTCGTCAGTTAAAAGGAAAAGACCTGCAATGGAATATTTGATTCAGATCTAGACCTTATTCATTATGACTGTATTTAAGTTCAGATAGTTTGATGCGTTTCTTGTCGATTACCTCAAACCACCATCTTATCTCAACATATTGCACGTAATGTCGTGTCACCTAGACTAATGGCCACATTGCAAATTGGTCAATAGGATTCGATTTGCACTGAGAAAGACCTGACATACATGACATTGATCACCATCCAGTGATCAATCGATCGTAATGGTTTAACCTTCGTTTATTCTTTTCATCATTTTCTAACAAGGTTTATTCTTAAAACTGATGGGAAAATAACCTCTTTGAAGATCAAAACCTGGAATCCATGGAGATACAGTCAAACATACAGTTACTGCGCATATTTGGCAGTGTTAATTCATACTGTCAGGGATTAAATAATTGAATACTGTGAACATACTATTGAACAGCCAAACTAAGTTAGGTTAATGACCAGACAAGGCGGTTAAATGAAGTATGTTATTTTGCGATGCATGTCAGCAGGATCTCTAAGCAACTTCACAAAAATTAATTTCACCTTTCACTAAATTCTTCATTGTTCAGACAAATATTTGTGGATGTTAATTTGAAGACTATTAAAAGAGTGATTAATGCTATACGAGATGACTTCAACCAATAAATGCAACTACTGAGGCAACCTCAACGTGGAAGTTTGAACCTATCTGAAGAAGATTTTTTTTAACATACACTTGAATATGGCAGAAATACTCATACTGAAAGATAAGATTTGTGTTATACTGCCAAGTAATTAATTATTACGAATATCTCGGTCTTGACTCAAATAGTTTAGTCGTAATATTACTGACTATGACGATTAATAAGACTGGTTCTATTTTTATGACTAGTAGGAATTCTCGCTAAAACTCTTCATACATCATATTGATCATCTAAGATTCTTGAATAGGTTCTTGTAAACTACTGATATTACTTATGTATGATAAAATTCAATATGTATTCTGAATAGCATTTTATACTGAACCTACATTCACTTTGTTTATACATGCAAAAAAAGTGTTTTATTCACTCAATTCTAGTAAATTTCACTGAATATTGAAAAATGTTTACATTTTTTCTCACTTGAAAATTATTTTAGGCTGGCAAGACGGTGCATTCTTTATACTTGTATTGGCTATATTATTAGGATTTTTAGGATTGAGTCTTTCAGTGGCTGGCCACTTAGTTTATGCTCTTCCGAAAAGATTATATTATTTTCATTCAGGCGGTGAGGCACATGTCGTTGCAGGTAAGTCAAATTTTAAAAATAAAGAAATGGTATGTGTATTCGGGTGTTTTTTTAAAACTTGCAAACAATACAATCAAAACAAAAATCAATTAAGCTTCACCTCATGACGTAAGCTAGTGGCTATCTAGACTCAGTAGCTAAGTGGACGACACGACGGAGTTTGAAGTAAACAGTACTGTATCCGAGTTCTGAGGTAAACATTAACACTTGGATGTAGATACATCCAGCCGAGGAGTCTCAAATAGGACGAAACGCGCTTCCTGAATTCCGTTTCTATCCACCATCCATTTGTGCTCATAATGCTTGGATGTATATAATATTACGTAATACAACTTAAAAACAATGTGTAATGTTAATGTCGTTAAACTACCACTTTTGTGTAACAGTGTATAATTTTACACAGTTGGTAAACCTCGACTAGGTAAAGTGATGTTTAAGTCTATAATCTATTGTTTACTGACAAATAAAAGTAAGGAATAAAGGTCAACAGATGAACTGATAAGTAATCTTAATATGCTGTTGTATGCATTTGGTTTACATTTTACAGGATGAATTAAAGAAAAGAAGCATTACAATCTATGTAATTATTAGTTTACTTGCAGCCATTAATAAGACTAATTCCATGAAACTGAATAGTGAATTCACAATAATTTTCATGGTTTATATATTCTTAAACTATCCCTTTAATAACTCGAAAATTCATTTTATCTCCTTATTCTTTTATATAGTCACGTAATAAGTCCATTCACTTAAGTTTAATGGTCTATTTCTTAAACAAAATTTGTAGTTGTACTGAAAATAGCTTCTCAATGAGAAATCACATGTTAAGTTTCTGGGTATAAAAGTTAATTAACAACTATAATCTTCTTACTAACCGCGAAAAATTCAAGTCACTATTTAAATGTTTTGTAAATATCTTAATAGTTAATGCTGAATGGTTAAAGATAGTCATAAATAAATGTAGAATGTGGCATAAATACTTAATGAACCTGATAAGTCTTTCGGATTGAACGCTATATTCGTTTCCTAAGCTATTCTGTAACCCCCAAGCTAGAACTGTACAGCGACCTGAACACGAGAAAGAAAACGCATAGTATGCGAGAAGTACTTTACTCCAAGGTTCATTTTTGTACAGAAAAACACGGGTGTTTATAGATGTTAACAATTGTTAAATGAACATCATATTTCGGCCAATCCGCTAAAAGACATTTTTATGCTACTGACCAATAGTAGCACGCCACGTTGACATTCTAGGATGCTCCATCATCCTCTGATTGGCTAGGACTCTTCGGCTCCGTTGCAGTTCTCGGAAAGCCGACTCAACAGAACCAAGATATTAATTACTGTCAGTACAACAAGAAAAAATTTAAAGTAACATCACTAACAGTAAACAAAAACTAAACACAGAGAAAACGAACTTTTCACAAGGGAATGAACCACATATATGCTATAACAGTAATAGTGAAAATCTAAGAATAAATGAAGAAAATATGAATTTATGTCATTACTACTAAATCATTGAACCATCGAATCATTTCATCTATGATCTTCAACTATTGATCATCACTTTTGTATAAACCTTAATAGTATTATTTTACCCCTACCAGTTATAGATAATACATCATAAGATGTTACCTCATATAAATATCGCAATCATTGATTTGTATTATTACTTAAAAGGTTTGAATAATTTTGCATAATTTTTTCTGGTTAGCGTTTTTTTGCGAGTTAGTTTTCTACGGGATGGGGACGTTAACCTCATGCCCAACCCTCCTCCTTTATCCGGGCTTGGGGCCGGCAGTAGCCCCTGAAGGGACTTCAGGCGAAGTTGATTTGTATTATGAATGTAGTCTAATAAACTTTATAACAAGTTATAATCATCAAATAATATTCATTAACTTTATTAGTTCCATCTGCATAGATCCTAGAAAACAAACAATCTCACTAAACAAACACATACCATTACGGTTCCAATAATAAAAAGCAAAAAAATTTTTTTTCAAATGAACAAACAGATTTATTCGTTAATAAATGATGGGAGGAAAAATTGCAAATCAAATATTTGCTTTGTTATTTATCATGGTCTTTTTTGTTGTTGTTATATTTACATTGTCGTTAATCAGTGTATGTTGTTGTTTTTCTTTCTTACTTCATATTTAATATTACTGTCTATTTTTCTATTTTCTTTTAGCATTTGTTACTGCCTTATCAGTGCTTATTTATCACATCACTATAAAATTACATTTACGAACAGAAGGTCCTGTAAATTTTGGTGAAGCATATGGTATTTCATGGTTTGCATGTTTTCTACATATAATGGCAGCAATTTTATTGCTTTTAGATGAAATTATTAATGAATTAGTGAATTTAGCTCGTCGAGTACATTGTGTACGTACTTGTTTAAAATGTATTATACATACATATAGTAAAACTGTTCAGAAAAAACGTCAATTATTTACTCATTATAATATAAAATTTTACAATGATAAATAAACACTCTTTTTTAAATAAAAACAAAAAATTCAATGAAAAACAAATTATTATTGATATACATCATTTAGAGAACTTATTCATATTGTTTTGTGTCTTTCTTGTATACTTATTATTATTATTATTAATATGCATTGAATATTCTAAAATATTGATTCTTTCGACTTTAATTGGCTCAACATTCAATAGAAAAAGAAATAATCCTAGAGGAATTCTTTTCATTATATAAGGGAACTTCAAAGATTAGTTAATATGAATACACAAATTATCATTTTCAGTTAATCATTCTATGACAGTATTGAAGATCATAAATAAATGCACAAGATTACACAAGCCATAAATAATGACAAAAAGTCAAGTACATAATAATAATACCTTGAGAATGTAATTATTTTACTAATTATTTTGAGCTACTTAATTATTTATAAGTAGCTAATGTTTTTCTTAAAATATTTGTGGATATTATATTAAAAAAACATTTCCATTGTATATCAATTCACTAGAAAATGCCGGAACATTTCATGCAATCTGACAAAAACGTTTTTCTACTTCCTGAACATAAGTGGTTTGTTTTTTCTTCCGATTTCTATGCATATATATGTGATCTTATGTTTAGGTTTTTGAAATAATAACCATTTAGAACTGATTGATATTAAGTACGTTGTAATTTATCCTTTTTTAGCAGGGTGGGGATGGGGAATTTATCTACTTTTGTTTCTGTTTTAATTTATAACCTTTATTTAAAAAGAAAACAATTTGTGAAATACAATTAGAAATAAACAAATATGATTGTAATTGGCTCCATAAGAAATTATAATATGAATGAAATTTAATAAATTATATTATAAATGTTGTTTTTAATTCACTTGTAAGTAAGTAATTTGAGCTTTTGACTTGTAATGAAGTGAGAATCTGAATTGAACTATAAATTAAGTGAAGTTTGCAAAAGGATTCTGACCTTATGGTAAAATCGCAAACATACAAAAGTTGATTTCTTCTTTCTCTCTAAAATAAGAAACATTACACCTCAAATATTATTAAATGACAAAATGCATAGCTTTTATTGAAGCTTAAATACTTTTTGGTTTATGATAATATTCACAGAATTCAGTAAATATGTTTTTGATATTAATGTGTACATATCAATTATTATCAGTGATAAAAGTTAGGACTATATTGTTAAGTTCACTCTACTTATGCTAAACTAATTGTTTGACGGTAAGCACAATGATTTAGTCAAAATGTTTCAAATTCCAAATTTTTAATCTGTTTCCTTTGACTAAGTGAACAGATGTAGATCCCACAAACTGGTATATAACGGAATATGCTTAACGAAATGAATGAAAAATGTAATACATTAAGTTTCTTCTTTTCTCAGTACACAAATATTCTATAGAATAGCAAGCATATATCAAAAGATAATAAGATGCCGATGTGTAGCAAGTAAAGCATTATTTAATATGATACAGCTTGTTACATGTATTTTTTTAGCTAACCTGAAATTGCAACAGAAGCACTGTTTATCGCTGAAGATAACTTGTTTAACAATATGATTAAAAGATCATGCAACAACATAAACTGAAATCTTCAGTGGATAAATTATAACTATATCGGTAAATTACTTTAAGAAATCAACATTCAACTAACTCAATCTTGGTCATAATGATAATTCACTTTCATTTCTTTACTCCTTCAAATATTCAAAAGTATCGGTCACCTCTGCATACCTCAAATATAACAGAAGCAGTTAAATATACGGAAATAAGTATTAGTAAAATGATAAGCAAAACACTGACTCCTGCTAAAAATAGTTATTATCTTAGTTCTTAAATATCATTTGAATAATACTATGGGCGTATATATATATATATATATATATATATATATATATATATATATATAATGATTATCAGACACCAAGTTTTCTTCTGACCATAATTGAATTTCCGCAAAATCTCTATAAATACCTATCACACGTGCCGAAGAATTTAGTATGATAATTGGAAGTAGTTGAATACGGTATGCTAACTAACAATACCCGGGACTATCCGTTTCATACACTTGTGTAAGCATGGTCTATTTCGGTATTGGTACACTTTTCTTTGCTACCACAATAAAAGACCTAATCCCAGAATTGTAGATATCATGATATGATTACCTAATCTATGAAATCTATAAGTCAAATCATGGTCTACACTGACTCGTCCTATCGTGATGATCAGTAATACAACGTCTAGATTTTCTGAAGAGCGCGTTTGTGGGACGAAAAGTATATCTAATGCGTCGAAGGGTCGATCATGACAATAATAACAATAAAAACCATAAGCATGAACGTAAACAGATTTCGGATATCAAAGTAAATAGAAAGAAACGAAAATAAACAAGAAACCTTTCAAAGGCTAAACATGGTGTTAAGTCTTGCTGATTTGGACGCTATATTCGTTCCTAAGCTATTCTGATAACCCACACGCTAGAACTATACAGCGACCTGAACACCAGGAAGAAGACGCAAAGTATGAAAGAAACACTTCACTCCAAGGTTCGTTTTTGTACAGATAACATGGGTATTTATAGATGTTAGCGTTTGTTAAATCAACATCATATTTCGACCAATCCGTTAATGACATATTATGCTACTGACCAATAGTAGCACGCCACGTTGGAATTCTAGAATGCTCCATCATGCTCTGATTGGCTAGGACTCTTCGGCTCCTTTAGGGCCTCTGGAGGCTCCGTTGCAGTTCTCAGAAAGCCGACTCAACACATGGCTTTTCAGTTAGTTAGATAGATGATGGACCTTGTTTGTGAAATTCATTATAAAACATATTGATATACATTAGGTGACACAATCCACTTTCGGAAGAAACATCATCAAGGAGACTTATGAACCAAGCTGAAGTTTCACTGAGCAGAGGTTGGTTGGTAGTCTGTTCCACATAGTTGAGAAGCTAATAACGAAAAAATTCTAGCGTACGTAAGTGTAACTTCTCGTAATCGCTGGAATATTTTCCATATCATGCCAGTTATGGGATGATATGGTCGAGTGAGAGAAGGTGAATACCGATGAGTAGTAAATACAATTTATAAGACGGTGGACGAAGATAAGGTTTGATTTGATGCTTTTGATTCATAGAAGTTCTAATTTGAGCTGTTGATACCTTTGGTGTTAATTCTTGCTGTCGGGATAACCCAGAACAGCTTTAGTAAATCTTCTTTCAACACTCTCAATTTTTATTAAACCACTAACCCTGCAGTTACTTAAACCAGAATGCGATATTCTGTTTTGGGTTACCCCTACAACAAGGATTACCATCAAAGGTGACAACAACTCAAACTAGAACTTCTATGAATCAAGCGCATCAAATCAAACCTTATCTTCGTCCACCGTCCTATAAATTGTATTTACTACTCATCGGTATTCACCTTCTCTCACTCAATCATATCATCCTACAACCGTCACAAAAAGAGACTACTCTCATTTTCAAAAACCTACGAAACCCAATGCCAAATTCTGACTTTCCGAAAAAGGTTTTTGACCTATTGGGTATCAGTGCGGTTACCAATGATTGATACAAAGAAGATCCGATGTTCATCCAAATGACTTTAGAGATAAGAAGAAACTATTAATCTTTGTTTGTTCGTTTATTTTATTTCTTCTTTCTTTTGGTTTTAATATCCGAAGTCCGTATATGCTCGTATTTGTTGTTTTTGTTATTACTATTATTATTGTTATTATTGTGATAATTGATCTCCGTGCATACTGCATATTCTTTTCTTCCTTTCTATTCTTTCCCTGCCTCACTTTTTCTTTAACATATACTTTTTTCCTAAATATTCAACACATTATGCAGTGTTACAATTAAGTAGATTATTTTTTAGATTCGTTTTATTTCCACTACATATATATTTAACATATAAAATGAAAATTGATTATCTTTTTCATTTGTATCATCAACTTAACTATTACTGCAGGAACTCTTACTTTATCGTCAACTCTTACTACATTATTGATTTCTTTCCTTAGTTATTTATCATTTGATTCGTTTTGTAATACACACATTACCGTTCGTTCTTATTTTGTTTTGCAAACATAGTTAATATATGATTTACATATTTCAAGCTTCTTCTCTTCATTCTTTTAGGATTGTGGTGGACCAGACAATATATAAACGCAAAAGGTATCAACAAAGTTAATAACAATCAATAGTAATATTAATATTTACAAGTTAAATGTTACAAATACAATAACAAATTAGGGACGTTACTTAAATTGACCAAACGTTGCGTGTTCTGATTAGGTCCGGTAATGTAAATCCACAGTTATAAATGTTTGATAATTCTGAGCAGGTTGGCGAACTCTCTAGTGATATAATCCCACGTAGAATGTGATATATTCCAATTACAGTCTATAAATAATGATAATATTTGATTTAGAATTCAGCTAACTCAATCACAAATGAAAATAGAACGAGGGATGTGTGAGTAGTAATGTTTTTGTTAGCCAGAAAGAATATGTCACGCTATGTAGTAGCACAACGGAAAAAGTGTTCAAGGTCATTGACTAAAACAACTCGTACAGTCATTTAATGATAAATGTACATACAGTGAAAAATTGACAAAACAAATAGAAATAACATTGAAAACTATTTACAAAATAAGGTTGTCAGGTCTATCTCCACATAGCTCCCCCCAGAGTGTCCGGTGGTAACACTGGTTATAATAACAAAAAAAATGTAAGGATAAGATATATACATGTATACAAAAATAATATTTACAGTTATAGCTAACAAAAATGTGGAGATGAGTGTGACATGTAGCAGGGATGTAGCATAGCATAATAAACACACACACACACAAAATGAAGAGACTGTCATTTGATGTCTTGGTTGGCTAACAATAATAATAATAATGTGCAAAACTGCTAATGACCCAAAAAGAAATTGAACTGTTTATTTTTGTGTACAATAAATGAGTAATTAGATAGAGTTTACTCGTTAATTATAGTAACAAAAATTTTTTTATAAAAAAAATAAATGTGACAAAACGAACAATTGTGGAAAAATGTGATTATGTACACTGTGGAAAAGAAAAAAAAATTTTTTTTTTAATCGACGAAATGGACATAACGCTTGGGTTTGTTTATAGGTCTGCCGGAGCGTGTTAAACAAGAAGGCTTAGTATTAAGTTTTTTATCCTCCACTGGTTTTTCAGTCACTGGTGAAAGGGGTTTATTGTCAACAGCTTTGTCTTCTTTGACTTGAGTAGATTCATAGAAAGCAGGTTTGATTCTGTCTATAGAAATAGTCTGCTTTTTGCCATCTCTGCTGATGATGAAGTATTTTTGTGTGCGTTTAATTACTTTATATGGACCTTCGTATGGTTGTTTCAATGGTTTTTTGACAGCATCTACTCGAACAAAGACAAACTTGCATGTTTCTAGATTTCTGTCGAGTTGTATTCGATTGTTATGTTCACGAGGCGGTATGGCTTTGATTTGTTGCATGGTCTGCAGCAGTTGGCTAGCAAAACGACTTGGGTCCGTTGGTGTTAAAGTGTTTGGATCCACTAGTTGACCTGGTAATGTAAGGGTTGTACCGTAAACTAGCTCAGCGGCTGTACAACCTATATCTTCCTTTATAGTTGAATGGATACCCAGGAGTACAAGTGGTAATGCGTCACTCCATTTTGTCGTATTATTTTGTGCCATCAGCAAGCTTTTCAATTGGCGGTGAAATCTTTCGACCAAGCGGTTAGCTGCTGGGTGGTAGGCTGTTGTTTTGATGTGGTTCACGCCCAGAAGTCTTGTGAATTCCTGAAATAAAATAAACTGAAACTGGGGACCACGGTCG